AAGATGGAAAAATCATCAAGGATAAGAATGGAGACTATTGCATTTAGTAAATGTTTTCTCTTGATTTATAAGTTATTCAGGTTTTTTCATCTAAAAAAAGTGACATTAATTTCTTGATGACCTAATATTTATATAGACTACTAACATTACAGTTCATGTAATGTTTGTGCTAACCTGTGCTTTAGCCTGAACTCTTGACCAACCAATAGTTACAGTGACTACAGCCATCCTCCTATTTTATTTTCTACATAACATTAAACCTTCTTTGATCATCACTTGCTTTATACCAAATTAACTGTTTCTGCCATTCACACAGAACCTCCAAAATAGATAGTGTCACTGATATTGCTACAGCTATAAAGTTGGAAAACTTTGTCAGCCTTCCAATAAACTTCTGATATGATACATACCTCTTCTCACACAATAGCTTTTCTTGATCTTCCACTGCCCTCTAATGCATTGCAAAGAAATTTTCTTGCTTAACATGCTAGCCTTTATACCCCACAAGTTCATGATGCTCATTTAGCATGTGATAACTCTCCAACAATATGCATGATGCACTCTCCTAGAGTACCTAGATCCCTCTATACTATGTTATATGAACCTCATTTTCTCCATTGGCATGAATTGGACTTTGTTCTTGTTTTTAATTACCATTTTCATACAAATTATTGTGAATTATGAATTTATGATTTACCATGATTGCCATCACTGTTCCAGATGTTACTGGGAATGCACAAACTCCTGTTATCCAGGCCTCAGTTTCAACATTGTCTGCCAGGGAGGTAAAAGCCTTGGTTCATAGGGAAATAGCTTCTTACATGAGGCCTGGGCCTTCTTCTCGGCAATGGTCAGCACCTCTTCAGGTTGATGAGAATGTTCAGGATGAGTATGATTTCAACAGCCTATTTCCTGCTTCTTCTTTTGCCATATGGCCACATCCTGCACCTTTGGAGGAGGTACAACCTTTTACTCCTCTCCTCCACTTAATGACACTGATTTATCACACTTCGAATGTTTCTTGTTTTCGGTTATGCCTTTCCTTCCCCTTTTGTGTGAGATCCCTAACTCGGACTATTTGGTGTTTCCCCCTTCATTTAAGTTCATGCACAGCAGTTTTTATCACAGTTTGGGTGTTGGTATGCTTTGATTCCCTTGAGTTTCTGATCAATATGCTTTAGCATTTCATTTAGATTCCCAACAATTCAATCCACTGTTACCCTTTGGGGTTTTAATCCTGAAGCTTCTGTATGATTTTCACAGGTACAATTTTCAAGGATTCATCTTACACTTACTAACAATTTGCATTATCTCTTCTCTTTCTAACTTATGTCTGAGGCCTTTCATTGTTTTTCCAACGATTTTTGGAAGACCTTGGGTCCATTCTGTGGTTGACTTTGGTGAGGCTCTCTTCATCAGCCCTTTCCCTACTTACCTGGCTGCTTTTTGGTTAGGACTTGTTGGGGAGATACATGCTGCTTGCGGGGGTTTATCTCTCCCCATCTTCCCTCAGGGATTTAAGGATGGCTCCATTTTTAGTGTCTGTCCTTGTTCTATGGAGTCTCATGGTGATGTGGCCAGGTTGCATACTTATTCCTAAGGAAGCTATCAAGCCTGTGTTTCCCCTTCATCCGGGTTTTTACTCTCTGCTTTTCATTGTCCCCAAGAAAAACCAGAGATTGGAGACCTGTCCTCAACTTATCCCATTTAAATCAGTTTCTGGATCCTCCTCATTTTACGATGGCATTGTTTCAGTCCCTTTATTGGAATTTTACTTTTTAGAAGCCGATGACCCTGAAAAAAGTGCCTACTTTCACCAGTAGCACTATCAATTCTACTAATGCCTCATTGCCAATTAAAGCTGCAGTACTCTATCCACAACAATCCTTGGGACCAGAATGACAAAAAGTAATATTTGGGTTACCATGTCTTAGGATAATCAATCAGTCTATAATGTGAGCACACTTCCAATAGGACCACGGCTTAAAGAAGCCAGAATGTTCGTACAACCAACTTCAGAGTGGTGAAGAAACTGCCTAGAAAACTGGAAATGTTTACACAATACATTCAAGATGCTAACCAATAGCACTAAATAACCACATCTTGGGCACTTCAGAATTGCCAGTATTGCTGTAAAAGAAGTTTATGGTAAACTTGAGCTTGGTGCTATATTTGTTATTTATATATATATACACAAAAATATATATATACGTGAGTTTACTTCTGCAATAATTATAGCTTTGCAGGATTCGGCTGGTATATATATGTGTGTGTTGTTAATAGAATAAAAAAGAGAGATGTACTAGTTTTCTGCAGAATATATAGAATCTATTAACAGAAATGGCTCTAGATAACTTTCAAAATAAAAGTGAGAACAAGAAGAAAATTGGGCAAAATAAGTGTAGGAGTTGTAATTCTCAGATTAACTCTTAGATTATGGTGTTATTGGGCTCACAGTTAAATTTTATTTACCAGATCACTAACAGACTAAGTTGCACATTTCTCTCTACTCATTTAAGCCAGATTTAAAACTGTTCTTTACATAAAAATTTTAACTTACATGATAGTGGTATGAACAAACTCATTCACCCAAGCTCTACAAACTGCACTTAAAAATCATGGATAGTGCTTGCTTTATCCTTCTATATGACTGTTGCACTAAAACCTACACAATTTCACCTGGTGATTACTAAGGCCCAACTGTCCTTTAAAAGGATACATTCTATATTAACGAAATCTGGAGGCAAGAAATCCAAGGTCAGGTTTGTAGGCAGTCAATAGCGCATTTTTTATTTCATCCAAAACTAAAAAAATACATAAACTTTGAGGAACATATAGATTTAGTGATGTAGTATAGTGGACTTCATGATATAATGGTATCACAGTTACTATATATCCATAAAATATTTAAAGGAGAATAAAATTACCAATGATTGTTTGCTTTTCAATAAGGTATTAATGGATATTTTGTAAAAATGAATTGACAGATATTTTATTATTTTCACATATTACAGTGTGTGTATACACACACACACACACACACAC